TGCGTCATTTTGCGATCAGTTTGCATCTGTTTTTGGTTGTTGTGTCTCTCTTTGCCATGGTTTTGCACCTATATCTGTTCATTCAGCATCTCTTTACAGCTCTCTCTCTGTTTTACTTGTGTCTATTTATGCTCTTTTTTGAGTCTCTCATTTCATCTGTTAACATCTCTTCCTGACTGTTTTTTGTCTATTGGTGCTTATTTTAAAGCTTTTGTTTGAAATGTTTGAAAAAATATCAACATTTTAAGTTGGTACTATCATTGCCTGTTAACAGCAAATGTCTTTTTCGTTTAGTTCCTTTTAAAAAAAGAAACTTTGCTGTGTTCAGTTTGGAAGAGGCTCTAATCCACCAACTCCTGAGGGAAATATCTGCCTCTTTAGCAGCTAAATGCTCCACTGTGTTCACCAGCTAGTGAATTATGGGTTTTTTGAGGTTGTTTCTGAAAACAGCTGCCTGCTGTGGCTGAATACAACACTGTAAGAGCAGTGAGATTGAACCAAAACAGTAAATTTATGAACTGAAACTGATTCTAAAGCTCTGTAAAGTTGACAAGAGCTGCAGTAATAGATAATTCACAATGGGTTCATCACTCCCAGAAGCTGTTTTCACTCTGTCATTTTATTTTTATTATATGGTTGTAGCCACTTTAATATAAAAATAAAAAGTTAATGAAGCCTAATAAAGCTTTCAGGGAGTCTTCACTGTCACTGCACTCCCTGACCTTTACAGTTCATCTGTTACAGCAGCTTGGCCAAACAAGCTCTGCCTAATCATGCACTGATGGACAGACACAACCTACAAACACTTCTCATTTGACATCAGCTTCTTCCCTGTCATGTTAAGTCAACATCAGATTTATAGTCCACCATCATCTGTCTAAGATTAAACAGTCATTGTCATGTGACCCTCTTCAGAGCGTGACTAGTCGCTGCAGCAGGTCGAAGAACAGTACAGCAGCCTCACTCTGTCAGCACTGTTTGGATGGATGGGTGTCGATGTTGAAAGAAAAGATGACGGAGGTGAATTTTTAGGGAGCAGATGAGCCATTACTCTCAATATTCTCATGGAGGGAGATCAGAGACAGATCAGAGGAGCAGCCTGTTCAAAGCCTACACACACAGCACTAATACCACACAAATAAAAATACTCTGTTACAAAGAAAAGTCCTGCATTTAAGGTCTTATTTAAGTATAGAAGTATTAACACCAAAAGCAGCTTACAGCAGCTTTAAGCAATATTTTTGTAACAGAAATGGATTAAATGGCATTGTGAAGATAGTGGCAAAGCTTCACTGGGCTTTACAGAGCTGTATAATGAGTTTCAGCTCATTGTTTGTGCGTCCAGCTGCAATTTTACTGTTTTCTCAGTGATGTTTTCAGCTGCAGCAGGCAGGTTTTCAAAGAAAAAGGTCTGAAGCACTGAAAGACCAGTGGAGACTAGATGATGGACGTAATGGAACTTTGAGTAGTGAAAGCAGTTGGTGGACCAAAAACCAAGCTCAATGAAAGTGAATATTAATGTGCAACTTTCCACTGTGAAGTCGTCCCTGTCAGCCTTCTTGTTATTATTGCAGTGTAGGATCCAACAGCTTTGACAGCACATTACCTCGGAGTGTGCCAAAAAACTGATCTGCCTAACTCTTGACAATTTCTTAACATGTTATTTTTTTCTGAAAAATGTCAAGTATTCTGAAATTCTAGCTTCTAATTTCTCCTTTTGTCCCACTGGTTACATTAAAAAAAAAAAAAAAAAAAAAAAAAAGCTATTTTTTCAGAGGATTTTGACCTTTTTAAGGGCTTGTTTTTTTTTTATTTTTTTTAAAATTTTGTAACATTTGTAAGCAACTAGTAGAAAAAATGATCAACAGGTTAATCAGTAGTGAAAATAATCTCTTAGCGGTGCCAACATTTACAAGACAGCACCTAATCAGCCCTTTCAGCCTTTTGATTTTGTGGAGAATCCAGTAGCTTCAATCGTGACGTTAGCTCAGAGTGCACCGAAATACCGACAGATAGTTACTGGATGTACTTTCAGTTCTGTGATCATTTTTATTTCCTTTGGGCTCACAGACCTTGACTTGCGTCCAGTAGCTACTATATATATATATTTTTTTTTTTTTTGCCGCACTCTGAGTTGTTGTTGTTGTCAAAGCTGTTGGATTCTTTACCAAAATGGAAACAGAATGGCTGAAAGTGCTGATTAGGTGTGAACATTCGCACCACCTCAAGCAAACCCCCATGTTCCTGCAATGAAAAACTGCTTTTTTAGAGAACACTATCACTAACAAGGATGGGGATGTTAGAGGGACAGAAAGAAATGGTGATTCTTTTCCTCTCGGAATCAAACCAATCAGCACGGCAGTTTTTCAAGGCTGCTTTTCCTCTATCAAAACAGGGGTTCTAAAGGGGTGGTTCTTGCGGCTGTAACACTCACAAAGGTTTAACTGCCCTAACACAGCCCCGCAAGTTCCTGCAATGGAAAAAGGCTATTGACTCCAAATATATCACAGTCTTGCTCAATAACTGTCTGCTAACAATTTCAGTGTGTCATATTTAAAGATGATATTATGTCATGTTTCTGCTGCCCCTAGTGGTAAAACAATGAGTATCTTGCAGATTAAAAAATATGCTTCAAGAGCAAAATTTGTTTAGAAATAAATGTACTGAACAAAGCAGCATATTTAATAAACTAGTCATATGGGTTTTGTCTGTAAAATAAGTAATAACATCTAGTACAGGCATCACCAAATGGTGGACCTCAGTTCGGATCCGGACCGAGTGATGGTTCTGTCGGGACCCGTGACCAATTTCTGATAAATTCATGAGAATAGCTTTTCATGGAGCATTTTTTCCGACGGTCGCAGCTATAGACAGTGGGCGCTGCTACTCCAGTTAATACGGCAATAGCTCCACTGAGTCAGCCAATGAAATCGTTTGGTTATCCTGCATGGCCAGCGCGCTGCCACAGCTTGCTGCTGCTGCCACTTTGCGCTTGCCTATTAGTGATGGGAAGTTCCTCTCTTTTCAAAGAGTCGGCTGTTGTGGCATGGCTCCCAAAGAAGAGCCGGCTCTTTCGGCTCCCAAATGGCTCTAAATTTATTATCATCTGTAGCCTCATACTTTAGCCTAACTTGGCAAATACGAATGCTTTGTGTGTTGATAAACCCTTATGAATTTAGTGTTTTGTATGAGAAGCCTTATAATGACCTAATTTCGTGTATTTTTATGTTACAAAAGCAGGCATTCTTACTTTTGTTTAATATAGTAATCAAACTTTTAATCTTAATTTAACATGAAAACAAATAAACAAAACACTGCAAACAAACCCACCGAACAGAACCAGAACAGAAACAGATCAAAACTCAGTTCAAACACCAAACAGTGTGTCCTTAGTGCAGGTTTGCATTCAAAAAATGAAATGTCTCAGTTTGGCTGGGCTGATGCGGCTTCTCCTCTCGGTTATTATCTGCCCTGTTTTTGAGAAGACTCTCTCAGAGGGAACAGATGTTGCCATAATACACAGTCTCCCCTCCATCACCTTCACCAGGTGGGGGAGGACTGAGGGCTTGGCCTGCCACCAGCTCAGTGGGTCTTCTGCTCTTTGGATGAGGGGTTCCTCAAGATATTATCGCATCTCCATTATAACATCAGCTGTGGTGCTAAATCTTCACATGTGATTGGCCACAAGGCCGCCATGCTGCCAGTCAAAACAAAGTTCTGCCGTGAACTGAGCTGAGCCACTGAGCAGCGAAACAAAAACCAAAGTCGGGCTCTCACTTGATGGTAGTTGGCTCTTCTGATTCACTGCGTATGACACATCACTTTTGCCTATACAGCAGAGCAGATAGGACGAGACAGTGACGACAGCATGACTTGCTCCAAAAGAAGGAAGGTTCACGAGGAAAACCGCTGCTTTGAAGATAAGTGGACGGAGAAATGTATGTTCATTCTTCCGTCAGGCAGTTCACAACCAGTGTGCCTCATATGCTCTGAAAACGTGGCATTAATTAAAAGTAGCAACGTGAAGCGCCACTACAAAACAAAGCACAGCTCTTTTGAGTGAAGTTATCCCCTGAAGTTCGAGCTGAGGGCACACAAAATAACCGAGCTGCAGCCCTGTATGACAGATTGATCATCACGCACATTTACAGCCCAGCAACATGGAAACGAAAGACTTTTTTACTTGAAGTGGAGGCCTTCAGTTCTTTAGGCTGTGACCGCTTTAATTTAAGAGATAAAAGGGTTATTCGGCTCTGTTTGCACTTTTTAAAATGTATTTTATTCTGAGATTTTTGTTCTCTCTGATCTGAAATAAAGGCCTCATTTTTTTTTTTTTTACTTATATATATGATAAAAGAGCTAACTGTGCACTTAATTCAACATATCCTACACTGTAAATTGACAATAAGTTTTGTTGAAACCATGAAAATGTGGCCATAGGGGAAGGCTATAAGACACAAACTGGACTTCGGTTTGGACCTTTTACTTGGAGGAAATTTTAATACCTGGACCTCAGTGACTTTTAATTGAATACCCCTGATCTAGTAAATTAAGTAAAAAGTACAACATTTCCCTTTATAATGTGGTGGAGAAGAAGGTCAACATATAATAAATTAATAAATACTATAAACTCTATATAGTACTGTAATGTAAAGAAATACTGAAACACCTCTCATTCCATACGTGAATAAATGTACTTTCCCCCACTGCACACAGTGGCACAGAAAATGAGGGATTTAAAGGCCACATTGATCACGACTTGGCTGCATCTTCAGTGTGACAGAGTTGGGATTTAGGTTGCTGGGGGATTTCAGGGCTGTTGCTGGGTCAGTGGATTACCTTGTAATAGATCTGCAGGAGGGCTGGCTGGACGACACACACAGGATGTGTTGGCTTATGCATGGGGGGATTTAATCCTTGAGACAAACATGCGAACTCCTCCCTACACTGTAAGCTGAAATGTGTTTTCCCCGCTGAATGGCTTTTCTTTTCTGCCTCAGGTGTGAATAATGACGAGTCCCGTCCTCGCTGTTTGAACATGCTGCTTGGGTAGCGAAGCCAACCAAGAGGAGCGTCTACCCTCTTACACTGCTTCCCCTCTGGACACACACACACTCGCAGAGTCGGCTCAATTCAAGCACAACCAACCATGCTGATCAAGGAGTATCGTATCCCCATGCCGATGAGCGTGGAGGAGTACCGCATTGCTCAACTCTACATGATCCAGGTGAGTAGTTTTCTTCAGACAGCGTCATTAGCAAACACCACACTCTGTATTTATGTTGTTCTCCCCTGGTTCCACTCAGACATGCCACTGATAACAACCAGACTCAGGGCAACAATTGAACGGCAAAGATTAGACTTCATTGTATTGTATGCGCACATGTCCGAAAGCTTTCATCTCATCAACCATTCAAACACTATTTAAAGCTCAGCAAATATATCAACAAACCTTCGGTCAGCCTGTTTTGGTGTTGATATAAAAAACTAAAATATATTTTGTAGAAGAAAAAACTAATTCACTACATAATATCAAATATAATGATTTAGTGAACTGTCTAGTTACTTTTGAACCCCTAAACTTTGGACACATATCATCAAACAGCTGTTTTTCCCACACAGTTTTATCTGTACTGATGTAAATCTACTGAAATTAAAGGCGTGATTTGACTCTTAAAGGTAGTATCAATTATCTGTTTTAGTTGTCCTTAAATTAAATGAATGAAGCGCTTTCATGCAGCTACATACATCCATTGTCCAGCCTAACATAGTATTTTTATTAAACTCTCTAGTTAAACTCTTCTAAAAATCCAGAAGCCCTCCCCCAGTACCAATTAGATGTTGTCGTTGCGGTACATGAACAAAATAAACAAATACATGTTTAATTATAAAATGTTGAAAGACAATAAAAAGCTCCACAGTTTTGTTTCCAATTAAATATGCTGAATGACAGAACCTACGGAACAGACTGTAAAAACTTCCAAAAATGTAAAATCTGGACCATGATCAGCAACGGTATCTTTTTGTTACTTTGAAAAACCAGTACTGAAATTTTGTACAATTGAACGCATAAAATGACATTTGTGACATTAAAAATAGACAAACAACTAATTCCTCAAACAATAAACAATTTTAATTACCAAAAAAAAGTATTTCGGTATGTTGGAAAATCTGACTACAAATTTATTTCTGGATTCAAATGTTTTATTTTTTTCTTCAAAACAAAAACTGTGGAAACACTTTTTATGTCACCTTTCTTTAAAGACTATATGGTTTGTCTTAAAAAGTTTGAAAGCCAACTGAGATGTCAGTGGATGTTTCATGAATACATTTATTTAAAATTTAATGTCACTATCAATGAAACATGATGTAGAACTTTATACCGGTTTTACTTTATTTAAAATTTTAATCAAGATATGGTAGATATAACCTGACTGTAAAGCAGCAATAATTAGTTGTTTACTTGTTTGGCTGAACTTTGTCAAAAGAAGATGAGTACATTAATTAAAATCTGCTTCTCTAAGTGGAAAGAAATTTGCTGAGAGAAGAGCCTTGCTGTTAATGAGGAAGTTGGAGTATTTTTCTGACTCTGGGCAGTGATCCGGGTCGGAGTGGAGGTCAGGAGTTTAAGGTGTCATCGTACCACCCTGTACCAGAACAAGAGCGGTGAGGAAGCGTGGTTAAAGGGTCACGGGGGCAGTGTCATTCTGCAGAGCAGATGGTGCTCCATATGCCGGTGGTTTGTGTTTCCTTCATAATTTTGTGCAAATACACACAGAAGCTTAAAACTGTATTTTTTTAATCGTCTTTTCCCAGAGGATAAATGAAAAAGAAAAAAACACAATCAACATATTTTGGTCTAATTTGGTTATGAGCCATAAATTGTGGAAAAATAAACAACAATTTTACTTTTGAATCAACCTGTTTCAGCTTGTGGTCTTAAAACATGTTTCCAGGAGCATCTAAATAAGAAGAGTATGAAGTTTCTTTTCTTATTCTTATGTATCTCATTTTCTTTGTCTTTTGATTGTATTTTATCTGAGCTTTTACATACTTCAGGCACTTGCAGCAAATACACAGTGGGGTCCAAAATTCTGACTTTACCTGAAAGTCCATGACAGTCAGCACTTCTTGGTCTTCTTTGGTCTTCAAAGCTTTGAGGTTTGTTTGGGTTCATTATCTTGCTGCAGTATGAATCCTTCTCCATAACTGATCCACTGTGATATTCTTGCTCCTGTTGGCCTACTTACTTACACCCTTATATTATTGCCATTAATCTCTAACTAGGATTTATCATCTACTATGCTACAGTATGTTCTCGCCCACCACAAGTGCTTGGCTTTCTACAAAAAACTGGTTAAGAGGGGTTTCTTGTCCTCTGAGACTAGACACTCTTTTTTTGACAGGACTTTTACTGTTTGGAGTCTTGCGTTCTTTATTTAGTCATTTCTGTATCTGTGATAGAGTTGCATTTTTCCCTCTCAAAGCTTGAAGTATTTATCTTCTGATGGTGTGCTCACTTTGTGCTTTGAATCCAGTTTCCACAAAGTGTTTTTGATGCACTGTCCCCTTGAAAACCTTCAGTCTAGTCTTTATGTGACAATGAGAAAGCCCCTCTTTGCTCAGAATAACAATCTGACCTTTGACAGTTTCAGTGTCGCTATCGTAATGCAACTCTGGCTCCCAAACAATATGTTTCTACACACTAAACTGTAGACTTAATTATGTCTGAAGGACTGTAACTTCATTTTAAAGCAAACAATGGATGCAAATTTAAAACAGTTTTCTTAACCAATAATTTACAGCCTTAACAGCAGGTACCACAGCTAATCTACAGTACTTTGTCTGACATGCATGTGCCTTATTTGTTAAATTAGTACAGCAATTAATCAATTAATGATTAATTGTTAACACCTCTATAACAGTTGTATTTTCCCACCGAAAGGTAAGACTGTGATGTAGAAGGATTGCTTCAAGGCGCCAACAAGTCCGCATAAGGAAGTAGAAGGGGAAGATGGCTGTATAAGACAGCCTTATTAGACTGACTTTTTGTTATGGAGAGTAAGCTTGTTCTTTACAAGTTTAGAAATTAAAATGGGGGAGAAGCTGCCAGCATGTGTGAAAGGGTCATATTGAAAGTAAACTTGTTTCAATGTCACCCTCTCACACATGTTGCAGCTTCTTCTCCATTTTCCATGAAAACATGGCGACGAGCCCCGCTCTGTCTGATGGCTGATTGGCTGAAATGATGTAATAGTAAAGCAATTAAATAAATTCTATAGAAAACGATACTTGTCAAAGAAATCCAGGGAGAAATTAATTTTCCATCAAATCGTAAATGCAGTTTATGCAGAGAATGCAGTTTAGTTGTGTAGGAGTGTAACTTTTAGGAGACAGAGCTGCACAGTGCTACGTAGTGAGCACTGTTCTGCTGGAAACTTTAAGCACAGCCATGTTTATAACGAGTACACAACGGTTGCAAGTTGATTTGATGAGTTGATTAAATCCAGTATCACCTGAATGCTGCTTCAGTGGAAGAATTCAACTCAAGGAAGTCTGACCTTTTATACAAAGAATGGTCGCTGTCACTAATCTGCTCAAGTTTGATTGCTGACCTGGAAAAAGAGCAGAATGAATATTCATGTTTCTATATGTTTCTAAACCTTAAACTTTGTCATTATTTCCAGGTTTACATTTAAGATCTGACTGATTCTTGATGTGGTTTCTGATTTTTGGACTCCTTGTCATTTAAATTCTTTTTTATTTCTGAACCTCTACCTTCATCGCCACACCTTCGGTCAGAAGTATGCCCGTAAATGAGCAGAGGGATCTATCAGCTTTGACAATGCACAGTACTACACACACACACACACTGCTGGACCCCTCCTCCCGCTCAGCGTCACAGCTGGGCGCAAGTTGCCATGGTAACCAGTGACATCAGCAGCAGCGTGGCAGCAGCTGCTATCATTTTGTTTGTGGTATGGACGAGGCAGAGATGGTGCAGGCGGCATTACCATGACAACGCTGTGCCTATAACTCTTAATGCTAGATGCAGTTATATGTTAGGAGCATCATTCATGTTGCTGAGGGTAGACACAATAACATGGACACTTCACCATTTTATACAATTGTCTAGGAAAGAAAAGGGCGTTCCACCACTAAAACAGGACATTTAGTGGGGCAGTTTTTAAAATCTTGAAAACACAAAAGTTAGAGGAGCAATCTGATATTTTTACATTTTTTTTAATTGTCCCACAGAGCATTAACAATGTTTTTGTTCTAATACTTAGAAATACATCAGTGAGCCACACCTTTGAACTGCCTGACATGTTCCTCAACTGAAATAAACACACACTGTTCCTCATTTTTGCTGTCACCAAATACTTGCTTACAAGAGAATTATCAAGTTTCTCTCTGTAATATGATATTGTTAGGTTTTGACCTTGGTGTGAAGTACACTGAAATGACTTATGTTGTGAATCGGCAGTACATAAATAGAATTATATTGAACTGAAGTGACTTAGTCCTACACACACTGTCCTGCTGCTGTAAATTCCCCTAGAACATCAAGTGTGGATTAATTAGCCGCAGAACATAGTCCCCTAACAATGCATTATTTCTTGCTATTTAAAGAATGTCTCCTGTCAGTTAATTACGAAACACTTTTTTTCATATTGAACTAAATAATTCTTAAGTTCATTTATTTACTTGTTTTTCTTTATTTGATAGTATAATCTGTACAAAAATGTCAAAATGTAATTGTTACTTCCACTGACATTGCATGCTCCTCCTTGCTCTTCTATGGTTTAATTGCATTAACTTCTAATTTTCAACATTTGAAATGCAGTGGGTTGAAAAAACTCTCCCCACATTTAGCCAGCATGTGGACTGCCCAACCGGAGACGGTGGGGCCTTGGACCTGCTGTGTGCGGACACCAGGATGCATATTGCTGACTTATTGTTATTTTCTTGTACTTTCTATATTTTTGGATGCTGCTGTGACGTGTAGATTTCCCCCAATGGGGGACCAATAGAAAAGTATTCTATTCTATTCTATTCTATTCTATTCTATTCTATTCTATTCTATTCTATTCTATTCTATTCTATTCTGTTCTGTTCTGTTCTGTTCTGTTCTGTTCTGTGACAACACTTGACATTAACATCATGGACTTAGGTACAAAGCCCAACATCTTAGCACAACTGTGGGCCCACTGGGCTTTAAAGCCC